AAAGTTTGAATTGTATAATAACATAAATGAAAACCAATAAAATAGTATTGATTCACATTATTTTACATTTTTGTTTCATAAATATGAAAAATAATTGTCTTACACTGGCTATTGTGGCACATGCCTGTAATTACAGCACTTAGGTGGTGGAAGCATGGTACTCAGAAGTTCAAGGTCATCTTTAGCTACATAGGGAGTTCAAGACCAGTTGCAGCTAAAAATCCTGTCTCAAAATATAATAATTTTCTTGGACTGGGGATATAGTTCAATGTTGAGGGCATACTCTTTGCTTGAGCACTCATGTTCCATTCCCTGAAGTAAAAGAATAGCAGTATCTGTTTGGTGTGGTGGGAAAGTCTACTGTACTGGCTGGTTTTGTGTCAACTTGGCACAAGCTAGAGTCATCAGAGAGGAAGGAGCCTCAGCTGAGGAAATGCCTCCATGAGATCCAGCTGTAAGGCATTTTCTCGTTTAGTGATCAATGGGGGAGGGGTCAGCCTAATGTGTGTGGTGCCATCCCTAGGCTGGTGCTCCTAGGTTCTGTAAGAAAGAAGACTGAGCAAGCCAGTGGAAGCAAGCCAGCAAGAAGCTCCTGCCTCCATGTTCCAGCCCTGCTTGAATTCCTATTCTGACTTCCTCCAATGATGAACTATGATTTGGAAGTGTAAACAAAATAAATCCTTTCCACCCCAATTTGAGTTTTGGTCATAGTGTTTTGTCACAGCAATAGAAACCCTAAGACACCTATAATTACAGCCCCTAGAAGGCTAAGGCAGGAAAAAAGTGTCAGTTCGGCCTAGGTTACACAGTAAAACCCTGTGTTTAAAATAATAATAATTGATAATAATAATAATAATAATAATGAACATTAACAATAATATTCTTCTCTAGAGGAGAAAAGTACTAAAAAATGGTCCTTACTGGGCACACCCAGTAGTTCAGGGAAAGAGAATACAAAAAACATTTTAAAATGAAAAAGAATACTTGTGAATTTAAGATAAGAAAGGTAAAAATGAGAGACTGAGACCACAAGGGGAAGCTGCTAACTTCTAAAATGTGTAATTAATGGATTGTGTTTATCATGACCTGCTCTACTTCCTTGGTGTGTATTCTGGCAGTGGGCTAAAATTTGTAAACGATCTATTTTTAACCATACATTTGAAATGTAAGTCTCCAATTGATGACAGGGCTGTGGTGGGGGTGAAATACAGTGTCTCCCACACAAAAGAGAAGTGGTGTGTTCTGAGCTACACCATCAGCCCTCATGATTTAATGTTTCAAGAGCTGATAGTGGTAGCTATGCTTGCTCCTGAGTCATACAGCAAGCCAAACTAGAAACAAACAAAAGCTTTGCCTTGCAAAACTGAATGTTCTTTAGATATACAGCTATGGAAGTCTTGGAATGTATTGACTGTGGTGGTGATGGGGTATGGATCACTTTGCCTCAGGATTTCTAGCACATGATATGTTCTTTTGCCCTAGCTGCAAAACACATCATGACACAAATATTAAATACTAATATATAATTACAAAGTTCTTAAATGAAGCTGCTTCTTTGTCATGAAATATAGACTTGAACTTGAGCTTTAAAGAACTGGTGTGTCACTTTCACAGAGCAACCTAGCCTTATGAATTAACTCTGTAAATATAGCTGGGTGTGGTGACCATTAGGGAGCTGGGACTAATTCTTCTACTCAAAAGATGACTCACAAGGCCTATTTACATCAGAGTAGAAAAACCAGTCTTGATGTAGTTTCTTTGACTAATTAGTGACATATTTTCTTAAATTAATAAATTGAAAGAGTGACCAGAGTGTAAGAGCAATAAATGGTTATATGGGGTTTGGGGATATGGCTCAGTGGTATAGCACTTGCCTAAAAAATATGAGGCCCGAGCTTCAAACTACCATAGGAAACAAAGAAAAAGGCTATTCCCTCTCAACCTGAATGCATTAGTCTTAAAACAATAGCCACAGACAGCTGAGCTTTCTGGAGACCAGCTGTGTCAATGAGTCCCTTAAGCACTGCAGTTCCTAAGGATATCAACCACAGTCTACCAAGTGTGCACACCAACACTCAGCATTCTCTGCATTCAGAGTCTTACTGATTCATGGTTAGTTCACTCAGTGACAAATACCTGTCATAGATCAGACACTCTAACAGGTGTTTTTGTATAACTAATTACAGCTATGGTGCATGCTGTGCCTCTCCTCATAGCACACTAGGACTCTGGAGTCTGTCTTATTCACCTCTTACAACAAGTCATGATGGCTCTTAAAACATGTTGTGGAGAATAACCTTAACTGTCCATCAGAAGATATATGGGTAAACTGTAGTACCTTCACACAATTGAATGCCACTCTATAATAAAGAAAAAGACACAAACCAGAGCCACATACTTCAGCATGTATATGTAGGAAACATTTAAATGAAATTTTAAAGCATTTAATAAGATAAAGTATTAGAATAAAAAAGTCAAGCACTATTTTTTTCAGCCTCAAGGGAGAAGATTTTGGCAGTTAATTGCAATATTATAAGTAGCAAATTTATCCACAAATATCTGCATGCACAGAAAATAACATGAACAATAACAATGCAATATTATTTTGTGGTAAAAGACTGTCCATTAATAGAAAAAAGAGTCATGAAATTGTGGTGCATAAATCCTCTGCATCCAGGACAAAAGAGTAAGGAATCTATACAATGTATATAATTAGCTCTAAGACACTTCTAGAAAACAGAGGTACTATAAACATTGGTTATTTCTAGGAAGTTACACTGGGCACCTGTGGCTTACTTGTGAAAAAGAACCTTTTCACTTTTCCCTGGAAATGTCATTTCTTTGTTGTCTGGACCTTCACATAATTATAAACCGTTTATATGTTCCTCCTATGCCTGTTTTCATTTTCTCTTTCCATTTTGTATTTGTGGGTTTGATCTTTTAAAAAAGTATTTATTTATTTTTATTTTATGTGTGTGAATGTTTTCCCTGCATGCACATATTGTACACCATGTGCCCATTGGATCCCCTGGAAGTGGTAAGTAAACCTAGGTCCTCTGCAAGACCAACAAGTGCTGTTAGCCACTGAGCCTAATTTTTGTTTCCTTGTTTGTCTAGATAGCTCCATTCTGGCTACCGAACCATGATTTCCCTGCCTCCACCTTATGAGTGAGTGATAGGATTAACAGCATTACCCAGTATGTCAAGCTCCTAGTCTGCCTTTATCTGAACACTTTTCCTAATCTCCATCAACTGGCAGTACCTGAGGCATCCATCTTTTCAGAGATGTCTCTATCAGTTAATGGCACAAAGCAATGAAACAGTTTCTAAAAACAGTCATCTTGGGGATGGGAAGATAGCTCCAATAGATGGTAATTACCAGTACGTCAGTATTTTAGAGACAAAGGCAGGGGGGATCACAAGTATGAGGCCAATATGTCCTATCTGGTCTCAAAACAGAAAACTGAGTTCTTTTATGTATTTCAGAAGACCATTTGTCTGGCTGTGTCTTAAAACTGTCTTATGGGGTTGAGATCAAATATCACCAAGGAATTTAGATTCTGAGCACTAAAAATAGAAAAAGAACCGTATTAGGTATCCCCTATTCTTGTCATTACAAAATTATAATGCAATTTGTGACCAAATGAATTTTTCTTTCTTTCTTCCCCTCTTCTAATTTTCTTCTTTGACTTTCTCTCTCATCTCACTATGTCCTATGAAAGATTTAAATACGAACTGTCCTTGAATAACCATATCCAGAGCTAAACCTTGAATAGCATTAGCTACCAGTGATATCTTAAATATGAAATCACCTATATCATTCATTTAGGATACTGCTATCTACTAAATTAGATGAGTTCCCATAATTTTATTTTTATGTAAATTGTTTTAAATGTTGAGGTTTAACAAAAATGAGTTTGCATATTTGCCCATTCCTGCCAGAAGCTATTTCAAAAGATGGCATTTGGAGCTGGAAATGTAACTCAGGGATAGAGTATGTACATATCATGAACAAGGCCTTGGATTTGATTCTCAGTATCCACTCTTCCAGCTACCCAAAAATGTTCTGTCAGATTACAGATAGGGAGCTTGCAAAGTGCCACAGTTGGCAGAGTACTTGCCTAGCATTCATGAAGCCCTGAGTTTGATCCCTTGCACCACATTAGTCTGGTACATTGGCACATGTCTTTAATCCCAGGATTTTGAGGAAGTAAAGGCAGTAGATCTCTGAGATCTGAGGCCAGGGTGTTCTACAGGAAGATCTAGGCCAGCCAGGACTAGACAGTGAGACATTGTATTAAAAAGACAAAAGATTATAGAGATCTGGCCAGCAACATGGTGGGTTGTGCTTAGAGACAGGATGATCAGAAATTCAAGGTCAGCTTTAGTTACTAAACCAGACTCTGGTCTCAAAGCAGAGCGGGAAGGATGCTAACACACAAGTCTTTCTTTGTAACACCAGGGGTCACTATAAACTAGAAATTTCAACACTATCTAGAAGTGTTAAGCTAATGTTATTCTCAAGATTTATCTGGAAACTTGCTTATTCATGAAACTACTTCTAACCCTCATTTTTATTGGCCCATAATACATTTAAACATCGTTAAATTGTCTAATTTTAATTCAACTAAAAAGAACACTAAAAATTGTAGAAAGCATTGCCTCAAAGTAGTTTACCTTAAGGTGTCCTCAGAATCCCCTTTCCAGCAAAACTTTAATACAATTTCATAGTTCAGTAGATAAAGCCAGACCTGAAATGAGAAGAAATGAATTGTTGAATTAACTGAATGTTGGCAAGTTGTTTATATATCTTCACTCTTGACCCTGCTCACTTTTCTGAATTCTAACTCAAAAATCACAATTTTCCCATTCTACCTATTACACACACACACACACACACACACACACACACACACACACACACACAATAAATGTTTTTTAAAGCCTCATGGAGCTGAAGAGGTGGCTCTTAGGGTTAAGAATGTGTGCTATTCTTGCAGAAAACTGGAGTTCATTTCCCAGCACCCACACCAGATAGCCCACAACTGCCTGTAACTCCAGCTCTAGCGGAATCCAGTGCTTCTGATGTTTACATACTCACGTACATACATACTCTGGGATCTGCTTGCCTGTGCCTCTGGAGTGCTGGTATTAAAGGTATGTGCCCCCCTGCTTAGCTGTCTTTCAAGGTATACTGGAATGAGGCAGAACATAAGCCAAGGGGGCGTGAGGATGAAGCTCTGTGTTGCAGCACATACTCACCATGTTCCAGGTCCCCAGTTAGATGTCCTGAACAAAATACATTAAACAAAAAGAAAGGAGATAGGCATGGACACTCAAGGAAACAAAGCACAGCTCTCATCTCAAAGGGAATAAATGATCATGTATTCTGATGCAAGTGTGATCATGATCTGTGGACATGAAATTGCCTCAGATAGCATGTTCTAGTGTGAAAGTAGTTACATGAACTTTAAAAAAAAAGTCATATAACTACTCTCACTTTGTAGTCCTGGGTGATGGTAGAACTTGTATAAATAGTATACTTATTATAGGACTCAGATCTGCCTGCTTCTGTCCTGCCCAGAGCTGGGATTACAGGTGGGCTGCCACACCCATCAGGTTTTTATCTGTGGGTTCTGGGGATCCCAACTCCATGGTGTGGTGATAGATTAATTAAGTGTCCTCAGCCTTTAGGGAGGTTCTAGTCAATTAGTCCTGAAGAATCTTTAGCAGGTGTATCTTCTTTCTGGGGATTTCAGTTACTTAATGCTGGCCTGTAACCCTGAAATAAGCACCTAAAAACTGCCTTTACTAAAAAGCATTGACTTTTTATTCAAGCCAACAATATTAACTGAAAGCAGACCGAAGCTTGGCATGTCTGCCTTCATTTTGTGTCTGTGTCACTCTGGCTCGGATTCCAGCTTAACTTGCACAGGCATGTTACTTTAATCATTCAAGGAGTGTCTGTCTACATAGCTGGTCTTACTTTTTTAAGGATGAAGGTATGGACTTCTCATTTTCCTACACTCTCATTCACCGTAGATTCCCAGAAGAGCAAAATCTCATAGGACAGACCCCAGGAAGATAAGGATAATTAACAGAATGTGAGGCTGCTCCTTGTTGCTTGAGTAATCAACTTGTAGGAACAAGATTGCACAAGTCAAGAATTCTTCATATCACCTTGCAGAGCCAGAGCTGAAATAAAGCTCAAAAGGCGACACAAATGACCAAGACTTCTAATAGGTCTACATCTCACCCGGCTCCCCAGATGTAGTACCCCTATAGATACTACATCTAAACCTCAAGGTCATGTCAGAACCCAAAAAAACAAACTTGAGGGTCACTGGATCCTTTCATTTGTTCCTTTCCCCAGCATGTTGATTAACCCTCTCTCTGCTTTTGTCTCTTTAATTGCAGCGTTGGTGCAGAGGCCAAGCTGAGCTTGTTGAAACCCCAGAGTTGGGGCTTTTGTCCTTCTGTCCTGACCGCAGTTCCAGCACTGCAGAGACTATTGCAGGAGTATTACACAGGCGGAGGAATCCAAGCCAGCCAAGCTGTACAGTGCTGCTCAACCTCAAACATGGGGGAGGGATGCCTAGCACACATGTGGCCACTGAACTCAATCCACAGCATCTTAAAAAAGCTTGTTTAAAGGATATTAACTTGTACATTGTGATTCATGCATGTAATTCCAGTACTTGGGAAAGTGAGGCAGAAGGATTTCCAGGAATTCCAAGCCACCTGGGCTATAATATATATTATGTATATAATATAAAATAATATGATATGATATGATATGATATGATATATACATATATAATATGAATATTAGGAAGTTGTACAATAGTAGGTTTGTATTTAAATCCAGCTTTACCATTTTTTAGCTGAGTAGTGTTAGGTAAACTATTAAACAATTTGTTTGGATTTGGAAAATCAAATGTGATCAAAACACCATTATAGTGATATTTCATTTGTGCTGAAATGTGATTTTATTTGTATGTTAATAAATAAAGTTGCCTGGGGGGCAGAGCTATTAGCAAGCCATTTAGCAGAAGTCTGGCAGTGGTAGCACATGCCCTTAATCTGATCACATCACAGGCAGAGTCTGTGTGCTCAAGGACACAGCCAGCTTGGTGACACATGCCTTTAATTCAAGTACCAACCATAGAGACCTGGAGGTCTGTATAGACAGGCAGTGACAAAGAAGTCTTGTGGTTGTGTTTAGAACCAATGAGAAGGCAGAACAGAAAGTCAATAAAAATACAGACACACAGGAAGTAGGTCTCTTTTCTCAGGGGAAGGATGGCAGCGGCTGGTAAGCTAAAGGCTATTCGCTAGTCCTCTGACCTCTTGAGCTTGTAACTCTGTATTTGGCTCTGTGTTTCTTATTTAATAAGACTGTTTAGAATTACATCTATACACTATACAAAATTCTCAAAGAGCTAACAAAAATTTAAATCCTCCAGAAAAGTTCCACCTTCCAAAACTTCCACAACCTCCCCAAACAGCACCACCAACTGGGAACCAAATGTTCAAATACCAGCTCCTGTGGAGGACATTTCTCATTTAAGCCACTAGTGTGCAAGATAGTCATCAGGGAAATGCAACTTGAAACAAGAGTCAAGCTACTCTATACTCAATACTAAACTCTAATTATGAAATATTGGCAAAGATAAAAAGCAACCATAACTCCATGTTCCTCTGAAATTTAAAATGGTACAGCCACAATGGATCAAGTTTGACAGCTAAAATTTTATAGACTCTTATGCTTGTATTTTGTTCAGATGGATTTGTATGTCCACACAGAATAGAGCATGACCCTCAAAGCTTTGCTCACTACAGTCAGTGCCAGGGCATCAGGAGCTCCAGTGGCAGAGCATTTCCCCGGGACATGCAAAGCCTTGGCTCCAAACAAACAGAAACCGTGTCCATCGGTACATGAGTGAGTCAAGGACAGCCTCCTATGGATTTGGAACTCTTACAGGTCCAATCCACAGATCCTGGCAATGGAGGATTAGCACCTCAGAAGCACTGAAGAGTGAAAGAAGGCAGATGTAAAAAGGCTCTCTTTATTCTATACTTACCCCATGTGACAGATTATAAGCTGTTTCACTCTGTTTTTATGACACTGTAGGAAAGGAAAATCCAAAACAGACACCATGGATTCTAGGGGAAAGCAAGACACTGACTTCAACAGGGCTTTCTTGAGGGCAAGATATGGTGGTTTGGGGGGTTAGAGAGAGATAAGATCTCCATCTGTAACTCACCATGGCCTTGAACTTGAAGAAATCCTCCTGTTTTAGTGCTGGGATTATAGGCATACCTCTCCATGATGGTTTTTAGGTACATGAATTGAACCCAAGGCCAATCTGGCTGAGCTGAATTAAGCCTCAGCCCTACTAGTAGTCTCATATATGGCAATTTGGGTGGTGATTACATGGCCTCATACACTTAACAAAACACAACTTATAAATTCAAAATTATATGCTTTAAATTCTGTAATCTCAAACATCAGAAGTGGAGGCTAGACAAAATGAGTTCAAGGCTAGACTGGAGACCTGAGACCTAGTCTGCAAAAAATGAAAGAAAAAAAATGTACCCAGCTTGGTGGAACAGCATATAATTCACAGCATTGGTGAGTCTGGGCTAGAAGACCCCAAAATTGAGGACAGTCTGGGCTATGTAAATAACCAATGCCTTATCTAAATATATATATATATATATATATATATATATATATATATATATATATATAAACAAAAACCAAATAAACAGAAAAGTTTGACTTTATTCCTTGTAAATTATATCTGACCAGATAGAAGTTCCATAGAATTTCTGGAAAACAACAAGACAAAGAGAGAGCCAAGTAGGAACCTGAGATTACAGGAATCTTAAAAGCTAAGCCACAGACTGATTACACAGATACAATGTAATGGATAATTGGTATACTTGATACTTGCCAGGATGAAGTAGGATACATTTATGTCTCCTCAGCACTTGACAGCACAAAGCCATAGTGAGAAAGAGATAAGGTCAGGAGTCTGGGAAGTATCACAGCAACTGTAATCAGACTATGACAATAAAACTAACTTAAAAAATGAAAAGTAAATACAGGAGATTGAAATGCTATACACAAAGCAGTAGGTAGTTGGTGGTGGCATTTGTCACATAAAGCAGTAGGTAGTTAGTCTAGAAGAACATTTCTTCCAAATGTTATTTGTTTATTTTGAGACATTGTCTTACTCTATGACCCAAGCTGACAAGGAAGTTGCCCTGCCTGCAGGGCTTCAACGGGTTCTCGACCACCCTAAGGAGGGAATGTAGGGACAGGAGATACAAAGGAAAAGACACCAAGTCTAGATTCTGATCAAGGTGCCACTTTATTTCTCTTCCAGAAAGGTTTATATAGTTCCGCAGGGTGGGAGGAGCAAAAAGCTGTCATCTGCATAAGATGGGGCAAGCTAACAGGATGTTTGTATAGGATGTTTATAGGGTGAGAGGGTCAAGGGCTCTGACTCAATATCCTGTTGCTAGGCAACCTGACTGTAAGCTGATCTAGTTCCCTGTCTTATTGGAGGTCTGAATTTTTCCACTAACTAGAGATTCTGTCCTTGTCCCTGACAGAAGTCATGTAGCCCACGTTGGCCTCAAACTCAAGGCAGACCTCTTGTTTTGACCCTACTTGCCAAGTACTGAGATTGCAAGTGCAGCCATTATGAGCATCTTAGTAGCTGTTGTGTTATGGTGAAACCTGTTTTGTTTTCATACAGGGTCTCATGTAATTCAGGCTGGCCATTAGCTCACTTTGTAGCTGAACTCCAGATCCTCAAGTCTCCTCCAGACAACAGCTGGGATTTTGAGACATGGCAACTACGCTCAATAATAACTACTTTTTGACAAATTGGAACCTGGAGCAGTGGTTCGTGTCTTTAATCGCGGCACACAGTAGGCAACATCAGGCAGATCTCTGAGTTTTGGGCCAGGTCTAGGCTAGTCAGGGTTATATATAATGATCATATCTCAGAAAGAAAGAAAAAAAGAAGTGTAATAGTTTTTCATCTTGTCAGAATTCCCCCTTATAGAAGTCCGCAGTGTTGACTTTGCAAATAAATTTACAAATTAGACATTTGTTGATCCCACCAAGCAAAAATAAAGACCTCTACCTAAATTAAGGCCAAGTAAGCAAGCTTTATTTACTATGTATAGAACTGACTCTCCAAAGTGGAATTTGAGAAAGCAGAGAGGGTCTTATAGAGAAAAAGGTATAAACTGGGGATTTTCGGAGGAATTTGGTAGCATACGGACTTGGCAAGCAAATTACAGAAGCAGACAGAAGATAAGATTATTTGACAGATCATCTTGGTAGAACATCTCAAGATATCTCAGGATTCCTTGGAAGAACATTTTTTTTTCTCGTGACAGGTTTTCTCTGTGTAGCTTTAGAGCCTGTCCTGGAACTCACTCTGTAGCCCAGGCTGGCCTCAAATTCACAGAGATCTACCTGCCTCTGCCTCCTGAGTGTTGGGATTAAAGGTGAGCACCACCACTGCCTGGCAGCAGAACATCTTATAAGGGCACAATTCAGGGTATGTTCAAAGGATGAGTCAAACTCCATAGGGTGGGGAACATGTAGTCTTAGTTAGAGTTTCTATTACTGTGAAGAGACACCATAACCATAGCAACTATTACAAAGGAAGACATTTAATTGTGGCTTGGTTATAGTTTGAGAGGTTTAGTCCATTATCTTTATAGCAATGTGTCGGCAGACATGGTTGTAGATGTAACCAATCGTATTATTAAAATA